GAGTGCTGCTGTTGATTATAATTAATGCTTTTAACATCCTCAGTTGTGTCAAAGAATATTCCACAGATCAATTAAGCTTCCCAACACCTTTGTGTTGTTGTTAAAAAATAGTACACCTCTAATCGGTATTTTGTGATACCTTCCTTCTAAAAATGTCACTGTTTTACTAGAAAGTGCATGACGGAAGGAAGAAGGTCCTTTTATATAAAGCAGATGTGGTTTAGGTTAATATATTTTACACACATAAACACAGCTTCTGCTGCTTCGCCCTTCTCTTCCCTGAGTGGTTGAAGGGACCAAAATCTACCACAGGGAGGCAACTTATAGTTTCTGTAAGGTTGTCCCTTCACTGCCCCGAGAAGACAACTCTCATTTGTATGAGAACATTTCCCCCCTTTTGCACTAAGAGATCTTTTACTTGATCCCGACAGACAGAGCCCTCGGCTCGAATTTGGAATGCACTACACCCAGGCGTGTGGGGTGTGCAGGAAATTCGAATCGCTCCCCTTGCTTTCTGGACACCTCTCACCCTTTCAGAGCGTAGGGCCGGGTGCGGCTGGAAAGAAACGTCCTTCCCCTGTTGCAGACCACACACAACCTGCACCCCTCTGTCTCTCAGGATCCTGTCCGTGACGCCACTTAAAATGTCACGAGTCCACCGAGTGGACCAACTCGTACAGAAGCCATGAAGTGCTAAGGGCATGCACCTTCTCATTTGCTGCCCCTTGGCTAGTAAGCAGCGTGTAAGACGTGCGAACACAGTTGCTCTTGCTTATACATCCATTTCTGACTTTGAAGGGAAGTCTTTGCTGCACTGTACTAGAAGTGGTAGATATACCGGAGTTTTTCACGTGCGGGAAAAACCTGGTGATGACAGCCAAGTGAGGGTCTCATGCTTTTTGGGGAGTTGGTTTTTTTAAAAGTGTTTGCAATATGACACTGTAGCCCAGTAGAATATTATCCACCTATATGCTTAAAGCACTTTTAGAACTGAATCTTAGTCTTTTAAGCTGCTGAAGCAGTTCTCAGACTTCTACCCTGTATTATTATGTGTACTTCACAGATGGAGAAACAGAGGCAGAGAGAGGTGACTTGCTGAAGACCAGATGAATGACAGAGCTGGGAATAGTCAGGGTCCCCAAGCTCACAGCACTGTTACCAGCTCACTGGGCTGTACAATCGCATTATACTTAGTTTACTGTTGGGTCAGTCAAAGTAGAGGGAAGTTAAGGGCCTGGACTTGATGAGGACTGAATGCCCAAAACTCTGGTTGAACCTGATGGAAGTGTTGAACATGCAGAAAATTCAACATAGTGCATCGTATGCAAGTTCTTCCATTGCATCAGGATGCGGCCAGGGCAGAGCCACAGGCTTCTCAGTTCAGCTTCTGGGGTTCCAGCCCTGCTGCTGCACAGAAGAGCAGTGGCTGCAGGCAGCCAAATTCGGTAGAGAAAGGCACTAACAGTGGCAATTTTTGACTAGCTTCTCTGAAAAGCTGGGTGTGGTTCCTTCTGCCATTGCACTGCTGTTGTTGCTCATTCCAGAAAATACTTTTTTGTTTGAATAACTGTGAAGGCTTGTGGAATCTATATTTGAATATATCTAATAAGAACAAATAAAACCTAGAAGAGAGAGAGGGAGTTGCAAAGGCAGTCCTCAGTAGCAAGCGTCTGCGAGTGATGATTATGTAGTTGCATCTAAAATGTGTTTCCCACCCCCATTCAATTAGCAAGTCAGTGTTTTAATGGACAGAGCTGGCAGCTGCAAAAATCCATCCCCCAGAGAGAGAGATTCCAGCACCTGAGCGCAGTCTGCAAAGCCTAGTGGTACCATTCCTCATTAGGAAGGGAGGAGAAACGTCCTCATGGGAGCATCCTACTGCTCTAAGGAGCTGCCTCCAGAGGACTTTTTGGGGGGTCTGGAAAGAGAATGAGTCTGAACCCAAACTAGCAGCTCAGTTTTGCAAAGCAGTGATGCTCTAGCCTTCATCCAGTGAAGCTTGTGGTTAGCTTTAAAGACATAAAAAAGGAAAATGATGAAAGTGGCATGTCTTTCTTTCCTCCACCTCCTTCCCTTTTTTATCATGGTTAATACTTAAGAAATACCTAAATATTCCCTCAAAAACTTATTTCCTTTCAGAGCTACTGAATTCCCTTTCCTTGGTCATGTCCTTCTTTTATTTCAGTTTCTAGACCAACTTTATTCCTTGGGAGCCTAAAATGTGGTTTTCAGTGACAGAGGATGTGACAGTGGGATATATATAGGATATGTCTGGTCCTGCGTACAGGAGAGCTCTCAGCCTTTTCAGGCAAGTCTGTCTTCAGGCATGGCTCTAGGAACTGTAAGCAGGAAGATGCATTTTACCAAATAACTTGAATTTATAAATGCCATCCATCTTGCAAAGATCCTTGTGTATAAGTATATGCATCAACAGAAGATAGATGTGTCCAGCCAGGAGTACCCAGGCCCACGCGTGGTTTTCATAGAACTCTGAGACAACTTCTAACTAGGGACTGATTCAACAGAAAGCCTTTACAAATACCAGCACCAGAGAAGTGCTAGAATTTCTTGCAGACACAAAAGGGGGACTGTGGGTTGTGGCAGAGGTCCAAGCACGGAGGGTGCCAGTGGTGACCCTGCTGCAGTTTCTTTGTAGGGTTTGTGACATCTGGCTGCAGTTTCCTCCAGCCTTTTTAGACTGAATGAGTGCAGGGATCTGAGAGCCCCACTTCAGTCCTAAGTCATCTGTGAAAGCCAGATGTTTGCCTTTGTAACTGCTATTGAATCTTGCCCCCCCAGCTCATAATCCAGGGGACACATCTCACTCTGTAAGAGTGGAATGTGAGAGTTAATCAAGCTATTTCAACTTCTTTGTCAGAAACAGTGATGATCAAATGTATTTCTATCAACAGCTGCCTTTTTCAATTATGCACAGAAAACATGAGGGGATAGTGTGCACTGCAGCATAGGTTTGTAATGATCTGAGGGGCTGCAATGTCTTTCAAACTGAGAAAAAGTGCAAGGCAGAGATGCTGAAGCAGTACTGGTAATGTGAGTGCTACAGCAGAGTCCATTACAGATAAGTAATAGCAGTGCTTCAACAAATGAACCTTTTCAACGGTACCAAATAGTTCCTGACATAGGTTGGACTGTGTTCTGTGATGTCGGGATATGCATTAGACCCAGGAGCAAAGAATTATTTTATCTAACCATATCTTGGCTGTTTGTTTGAAGCCTTTTTAACCTCCTGCTGTAGAAATTGTGAACTGCTTATGAGAAAAAGGACCTTATGTGACACTGTTCCAGCAGCCACCTGCTGCTACTGGTGGGATCCACCAATACGTGGGTAAAAAAGATGTGTTTAGTTTCCCAGCCAGGGCAGTTTTTCACATGTGTATGAAACTGCCTCATGAATATGTTTCTCAGATGTGGGCAAATACCTTGTGAATAGCTTTCTGTACAAATTCAAGAAATATGCAGGTATCTAGGCCAAGAGAGACTTCATAGTGACAGTATAACATTAATGCATTCCAAAGGAGACTTCTTAAAATAGGGTTTAGACCTTTTCCCTCATCTTTGTTTCTGTAAAGCATTTTCATGGTGTGTATATATATATATGTAAGCTTGTGCCATATATAGAGCATTCTCTATTCTACTAGAAAATAGAAAATTTGAATAAATTAGAATTTTCGTGATGTCTTTTTATAATAGCACTGTTAGGAATGACGTTGTATCTGCCAGATGGTTGAAAATCACCTGCCTTTCAATGGAAGAGGAAGCATGGCTCATTCTTCTAGGTCAGCTCCAAAAGTGTTAATTTCTCAATGATTTTACAGTTTTCCTGATTCAGCAGTCTGGTCTGTCGGGATCCCACTAAAATGGGGGGGGGTCTATCCCCAGGGCCTGGGCACATCCTGTAGATCAGACTGCAGGATGACTTCCTCTGATCTTGCAGCAGGTACTATGCAGCCTGCAGCTGAATTGCAAGTCAAATGTGGAGCTGCAGGCTCTTGTTGGTTTTCTACCTTAAAGTTAGTTGAGTTTACGTTTTTAAATTGTGGGCTATAGTAGCAAAACATAGCTTTTACCTTGAATTTTGAAGAGGCAGATGTTGTGACCAGTACAGAGATGCAGAGAAAATGTGGACAAATGAAACTAGCAAATGTCACTAGCTTGCACTGCCTTGAAATAATGCTTGTGTTCATATGGTAAATGATCTCAAAGTTTGTTGTTATGTGGTGCTTCTCAGTGACAGGTTTCAGATTGCTTTGTAAAGGAGAGCAGAACCATAGTTTTACACATAAAGAAATTGATGCTCAGAGAAGGGAAATGATTTATCTGAAATCACTCCGTTGGCAGATCTGAGGGCAGAGTCTCTTCATCTGAACATCTTTCCTTTTCTAAAGAATGACCTCAGCAAATACAGAAATGTTATTCATGGGATAGCTTCACAAAGGCTGAAATTTATCTGCTAGAGTTGACTCCAGGGAGTCCCTTGCCAAACTTCACACCGTGATTGATCCATGGCTCTTGACATGCGTTTACTTTTAATATGTGGGTAAGGGGAGTCCTCATTTCTGACAAAGTTTATGGGGGTTTTTTGTGTATGAATCTTCAAATACAGTGTTGTCTAGTTCTTGTGCTACTCTGTATGGTGGTGAACTTCAGCTCCAGCACGGAAGTTTTGTCTATAAAACAAAGGAAGAACAGCCTGATGCTTCACTTAAATGCGTGTAGTACTTGACTTCACATCTTGTGTCTGTCTCACAGACAGCTGGTCCAGGTGTGTCTAGCAGTGCGCTAGTTTTTTGCGTGGCTCTGGTCCCCCAAGGTCCTCTGTCCAATGGGGGATGAGGTGCAATGTGATGGCACGCTAATAGGAAAATTTAAAATGTAAACTGGAAGACTAAGAACTGTTTTGTCTGTGTAAATTTGTTATGAGGTGTGTTGTGTAATAGCTAATAAATGACTTAGGTTTTTGCTTTAATCTTTCTGTGCAGGACACCAGCCATGATTGGATGCTCATTTGTAGTGGACCGAGAGTATTTTGGTGAGATTGGCTTGCTTGACCCTGGCATGGAGGTCTATGGAGGAGAAAACATTGAATTAGGCATGAGGGTGAGTAACAAAGAAGAGACTTTGTGCCATATTCATTTGCAAAGAAAGACAGGGAGCCTGTGGCCTGACAGAATTGCTATCTGACTGATAGGCTATTACTCTGAAGTAATTGATATTGCAACACTATCTGCCACTGACAGTCCCAGTAAATGAATGTTCCTGGCCTTACTGGCCTTGAGAGAACTGATAACAGTCAGAAATATGGTTTATTGGTTCATTCTGTCAGTGTCTGAACCCAATGAGACAGATTTTCACCTTTCCCAGTAGCTCTGCTTGTGCAAACAGCTACGTTAAGTCTTCATGTGCTCGTTGTGCCTAGCTGAGGCACACGCTTGTGGCCTTAGCAGATGCAGTACCAACAGAAAACTAGGGCCGGCCAGGCTGGTAGAAGTCAGCTGCAACATTCTACAGACCACACATGATGAATGCTGTTGTATATTAAAATTTTAAGGATCCTCCTTACAGAGTACGAACTACAGGGTTACAGGTATTTGATCCTGTCAGATAGGTCAATGCAAAATGTGGACAGATGACTTGAGGGCAGCATCATTTCACCCTGTGCTTCCAGACCTATAGGAAGTTTGATACTTGTGATCCTTTGCCCTTGTTTTCAAGGTGGTGCTTGCCAGCAAGTCCTTCTAAAGTCCAAGGAACGTGTCTTTGCTTAGCACTTGAAAATTAGGCCACTTAATGTTGCATGAACACAGTTTCCTCATTATAAAGCTGACTGTTTAATTATTTTCCCCTTACTCTTTATTCCCTGCTTCACAGTAACATGTCCCTGGTGCATGTAATGGGCTCATTAAAGCATATATTCTGATCATGGTGAAACACTGAACATCAAATTAGTCCATTCTTTATCCGATTCTTTTTTTCTAAAATGGATACAAACTCCTTCACACCAGTGAGCTGAGGAAGAAGGTCATTGCAGCAAGACTTTATTTTCACGTATGGGTGTGTGTTTATTATTCCATCATCACAAGAGGGATAGGGTTTGTAATGGGACTGTGTGAATTCACTGCTTATACTTTAAGGTTCAGAATTCACATAGGGGACAGAAAAACTGCTACCACAAATCATCCAATTTTCCTTAAGAGGGTCAAGCTATTACCAGGATTGTGTGAGCATTCCTTTATCATTGTGCGGGGCTTTGAGATGTTTGAAACTTTTTCCACATGGCTGCTCCCAGAATAGATTGAATGCTTTGGCAAAACTCTGGCATAGCTGATGAATAAGCCTCCTAAGAAATCTGAAAGCTGTCGCTCTTCCTTAGATGAGAACTTGCTGAGTACGATTAGAGCTCCTGGTAAACAGAGGCAAAGGTTTTAATAGGATTATGAAATGGCACTTGCTTGAAGAGACAAGGATTTGAAGTGGGTGAGGACAGGTTTTCAGGGGTCGAGACCCTGTTCAAGTCTACAGATATCTAGGATCTAGAAACCAGCTCTCATTCTTTGGGGTTTTTTTGTTTGGGTTTTTTTTTTTTGACCTCTGAAGGATAATTAACCTACTGTTTGAAAAAGGCTTTGTGAAAGTACAAGAATATGAGTAAGTTCATTCTGAAATAAGCTGTATGTCCATAGTATGGATCTGTTACTCTATGTTTTCAGCCTGGATCTGGCATGGTAAGTAATATACACTGTCTGCCTCCTAATTTGCAAGCCCTACATGTGATCCCCTCCTGCGTGTCTTTCAGAGCTGTCAGAAACTAGCAGCAGGAAAATGCACAGGAACTTTCTCCCTTCCCTCTAGGATATTTATAAAATCTCTGTGAATTTACAAAGGTTTTTTTTTTTAACTCCAGAATCTCAAAGTAAGTTGCTAAAAATCATTCCTTTCTCAAGGCCCACTGCACTGACCCATGTGGGGATATTTGTCACCTCCCCTACACCTGCACAGAGGGATGCTGTTGCCCATGTGTCACTCTGCTTGTGTGGAGCAATGAAAGACAGAAAGGGAAGGAAATAGAATGAATGAATAAAGAGCAAGGAATAATATAATAATAAATAATAAAATGGTGGGGAAGCGGTGGCACGCGTTTGGCTGAAAACAGTCCCTATTTAAAATAGCTGTAACAATAATCCTTTAAACTTTTTTGCAAACTATTATCATGTTACTGCTAAAAGAAAAGGGATTAGGCTTGGAGTGTCTGAATTAGATTACATTGCATCTAATGAACCCTTATTTAAATTGTTTTAATAAAGTTAAATAGGGGAAGTCAGTGAAACTAATGAGCTGATTTGGGAGGACACTGTTTGATAACCCAGCTAATCCCCCTTAAATCTATTGTTTATTAAAAAATTATCATCTTGGGTGTTTCACTATTGGTTTTTGCCTTTTCTAAATGCCACAGATGGAAATATTTAAATAATTAACCTAAGTGATTTTCTGTATTGAGTAAGCAGTAAGCAGTGCATAAACCGACTGGGGCTACCACATCTATTGAAAATATTTAGGGCTCTGCAGCCCTTTCTTTAACTCATATTATTTTTTTGTGTAAACTTCATCTTTGTTAGAGCTGCGACATTCTCCTAGTGGTGTAGCTGTGCAGTGAAGCCAATGTCTGTTTCCCAAGCTAGGGAGATTCTGGTTTGGTTGAGAAAAAGCACCAGATGTTCCAGGAAATAAAAGGGAGGTGGACATGATTGCAGGCTTGTGATAGTAAGGAAACACTTATATAATGTCATCTTGTACTATATTTTTCAAAGATGACAGTTTTGCCGCAAGATGGATAAATACAGGACTGAATTCTGTTACGGACAAATGGTGCGATTCTTTGAGTGTTCACCAACCAGCTACTGAAGCTGATGGGAACTGTATGTGAGCACCTAAAAGCTGATTTTGGCCAGGGATTTTCAAAGTCAAATTGTGGCTGACCCCTGTGTGCATGAGGTGCCCTTCACAAGCATGGGCAGCTTGGCTTGTTAGCTGCCTGCAGGCAAGCACCACACCGCTGCTCTGCCTCCTTGTGTCCACATGGGTCCAGTGAGCAGTAGACAGCCCTATTTTCATTTCAGCTGTGAGTCAGCTGTCCTTTTCCCAACCTGGAGGCAGAGATAAAGAAAAGTAATGGTGCTTTCTCCTGCAGCAAAGCTGTGGATGTGTCTGTGCCTCAAGAAGATACCTTAAGCTCAGGGTAGATCAGGTTCGTCTTTGCTGTTCCCAGATATTGAATGGTCTCTCTGATCTGTTATAGAGAAGATGTCCCAATAGTAAGAGAAAGTAGGGCATTGCTTCAATGTAGAGGAAGACAGGGATCCCTTTAAATAAGGGTCCCAAAATGTGACCCTGTAAGAAGCTGCATGGTTTGCAAGCATCATGTGAATTCCCTTCCTAGTGGGAGCTACAGACACGCTTAATTATTTAGAAAGGGATCTTATAAACGTTAAAAGCCTAGTTTACTATTTGACCTAATACAAGCAGTTTATGATGCATCTTTTTATAGTGAGTCATTAATCATTGCACCAAGGATCTCTCTTTTCCTCTGGTGCTCCAGTGATAAGGTGAATGAATTGCTGTTCTTTTTATTTTATACCCATCAATTGTAATGGTGGGTGGGAAGAGATCAAGCATTTATTTTGAAAGATGCTCTAGTACAAATTAAATTCTGCTTCTACCATTAAGAATCCAAACAAATTAGATAAAACATGTTGCCGCATTGACAACTGAAAGCAAAACTTTTTCTCTTTCATGGCCAGCATCAACTGGACGTACTCCTTTATTCTCAATAGCACTGTGATATACCTCAAAGGAGGGAATCTGCATCAGTTGATGAATTCTTAGAGGTGCTAACTCAGAGATTCGGAAAAAAAAAAAAACAAACCACAAA